AAAAAAAAAAAAAAAAAAAAAAAAAAAAAAAAAAAAGGAAAGGAAAGAAAGGAAAAAAACCTAAACCCCACGGGGGAAGGCGTTTTCATTTATAGTCTCTTCCTGTTTCACGTGAGGAGCATCGCAGGGTGCGTCTGTTCCCACACGAAGGGCTCCAGGTCGCTGGAGGCAAGAAGAGAGATCCTGAGAGGCCACCTGGGAAGGAGAACCCAAAGTCAGTGACAGTGGTGAGGAGGCTGACTGCAGTCATGACGACGGCTCACATTCCTGTGTGCTGGGCACTTAATACGAACCAGTGAAGAGAGAGGCTGTCGGCGTGAGAGGAGATCTGGGGGCACGGAGATGTCTCACAATGGGGTCTTTCCTCCACCGCCCCACAAAGACTTTGGGAGACCCCACAACCTCGTGTGCTTTTGGGGTGACTTTGCATGGGAGTGGCATGTGGGGCCTGCAGGCCTCAGAGCAGGGGCAATGCCTGTCCCTGTCACAGGGATGCTGGGGCAGGCCTGGGATCCCCCATCACACGGAGGGAATGACCAGGGGTCCCGGAGCCGGAGCACAGTGCCTAGGTCGTGGCCACAGCGTGACCCGGGCCCTCTGGGGGAGCTGCTCCACCCGCCTTCCCAGGCCCTCCCATCCCCGCTTGCTTTCCAAGGCCTGCCCAAAGCCTCAGTCCCTGTAAGGTCCCAAAGATTTCCCAAGGTCCCTTAAGCCTCTGGAGGTCCCCCAAGGCTTCCCAGGCCCCCAAGTCTCAAAAGATCTTCCAGAGACCCCTCAAGGCCTTCCCAGGCTCCTCAACGATCCCCAAGGCCTCCCCGACAAGGCCCTTTAAGCCCTCCTAAAGCCCCACAAGCTCTCCTAGGCCCCCTAAATTCCCGAGACTCCCCAAGACCCCCAAGACCCCCAGGCCTCCCTGCATCCTCAACCCTCCAGGGACACCATCAGCAGCTGCCTCTTCTGGGAAGTCCAGGCTGAAGTCCCCAGAGCTAAATCCACCGGTTCAGCTCCTTGCTTCCTGCTACCAGCTATTGGTCCTGGGCTGACCTATGGCGCGGTGTCTTGGGGTCATGTGACCACCAGGCATAGTCACATGGTGTCAAACATGGCTGCCTACAGCACCACCATAAGGGAGGTGGAAGTGAGTTCTTGTGCAGCACTCCACGGCCGGCCTGTAGTCAGGGAGGCCTCCCCAGAGGCATCCACTAGGCTACCTGCCAACCTGGGTGCCCCAGGCATGGGCCCCTCCACGCCTGCCCTAGGAGAACAGTTTATGCAACAAAGTGTTGCAGAGGGTAGAGGCTGGGTCTGAATATATATATATATATATTTTTTTTTTTTTTTTGAGACAGAGTCTTGCTCTGTTGCCCAGGCTGGAGTGCAGTGACACAATCTCACCTCACTGCAGCCTCTGTCTCCTGGTTCAAGTGATTCTCTTGCCTCAGCCTCCCTAATAGCTGGGATTACAGGTGTGCACCATTACACCCGGCTCATTTTTGTATTTTTAATAGAGACAGGGTTTCTCCATGTGATCCGCCCGCCTCGGCCTCCCAAAGTGCTGGGATTACAGGCATGAGCCCCCGTGCCTGGCCGGGTCGGAATCTTTAACAGCTCCCCACTGCTCTTGGAGCCCCTCCCACAGCCAGCCCTTGTTCACCAACTGGGGAACCAGCAGCCACTACCTTATGCCTGCGTGCCCCTCCTGGAGGTTGGGGTCTCTCTCAGCAATATCAGTGCCAGGACACATCCCTTGTCCTCTCTGCCCCTTTCCCTCATCTGCAGGCCTAGGCCCAGTCATCCAGCCAGCCTCCATTCCACTTCTCTCCCTGCACGCAAAGACTGACTCCATCAAGCTGCATTCCCTGAAAGACACCGACAAACCACAAATTCAGCCTCCCCTTTGCCCACAGGATGCCGACGGGCAAAACTATCACCAAAAGAAGGGAGGAGGGGCCCAAAAGCGGCTCTGTATCTGTGGAGAAAGAGCTTGCTTGGGGCTGGACCCTGGTTGTGTGGCCTCAGATGTGAGTCCTTCCCCTTCCTGGGCCCCAGTGGGTGATGATGTGTCATGGCCCAGGGTTAAGAGCACAGACTGCAGAGGGATTCCCTGGGCTTGACTTCTGACACTGCTGTGCACTGGCTGTGTGATTCTGAACAAGTAACCTAGCCTGTCTGTGCCCATTTCCTTGTCTGTTAGTAGGGATCAAACAGAACATACCACCAAGTTTGTTAACAAGTTAATGTTTATGAAGTATTTATTATTTTATTTATTTTTTGGAATGGAGTCTTGCTTTGTTCCCCAGGCTGGAGTGCAGTGGTGTGATCTTGGCTCACTGCAACCTCCACCTCCCAGGTTCAAGCAATTCTCCTGCCCCAGCCTCTCGAATCGCTGGGATCACAGGCGCTCATAGCCATGCCAGCTAATTTTTTGTATTTTTAGTAGAGATAGGGTTTCAGCATGCTGGCCAGGCTGGTCTCGAACTCCTGACCTCGAGGTCTGCCTGCTGCGGCCTCCCAAAATGTTGGGATTACAGGTGTGAGCCACTGCACCTGGCATATTTATTTTTTTTTAATAGAGTCTCACTCTGTCACCCAGGCTGGAGTGTGGTGGTGCCATATTGGTTCGTTACAACCTCTGCCTCCTGGATTCACCCTCTGCTCAGCCTACTGAGAAGCTGGGATTACAGGCACCTGCCACCACACTCAGCTAATTTTTTATATTTTTGATAGAGATAGGGTTCTACAACATTGGCCAGGCTGATCTCGAACTCCTGATCTCAAGCTATCTGCATACCTTGGCCTCCCGAAGTACTGGGATTACATATGTGAGCCATTGTGCTCAGCCAGGATTATTTGTGTGTGTGGGGTGTGTGTGTGTGTGTGTGTGTGCACTAATTTGAGTTCCTTATAGATTCTGGCTATTAGTCCTTTATCAGATGCATAGTGTGCAAACATTTTTCCCATTCTGTAAGTTGTCTGTTTACTTTCATGATTATTACCTCTGCTGTGCAGCAGTTTTCTAGTTTGAGCTTTCTAGTTAAACTTTCTAGTTGAACTATCTAGTTTATTTATTTTTGTTTTGGTTTTGGTTCATTATATTCTTGGCATACGTGGTAGTGACACTTTGGTCCATTTTATTCTTGTTCTTTAAATTGTGTGTGTTTTCATGAAAAGTATTCTGCTTTGGAAATAACAGGAACGTGTAAAGGAAAGACAGCAAGCCATATCTGCCCAGGTAACTTTATTTTTGTCTTCTCAAACATATCAGATCAAATAATGTCGTTTTCTAATCTCGAAACCAGCAAGATTAGAAGAATGAGGCCATCACTTCACGCAGTCTTTCCCCGTTACACAAGGTGTTCAGGATCAAAGTCAAGCCCTGCCGTCAGAGGCAAGTGCCGCCCACTCACTTCCATTAGAACAAACTAGAATCAGGTCCACTGCATCTCTGCTAATTGTTTTGCAGCAGGGAGCCACAGAGGAAGCTAAAACTACCTTTTTAAGCAATCCTAAGTTTTCACTATCTAACAAGCACTTCGGATTTTTTTTTTCCTTAAAACAGCAAAGTACAGGTGCTGTATATCTGCTACATCTAAAAGGCTCCCCAGAAATCAGAGCCTATGAAGCGGGAATGTCTGGGGGTGACCCATCCTGCGCACAGAGAGCCAGGGGCTCCTGGCAGGTGTCAGACACACACTACCTCAACAGCAGTCCTGAGGTCTGAGATTCTGAATGTCAGCAGGTGGCTGGCAAGTATCGCCAAAGCCACTTGGGAGCTGGCCGTGTGGACTGGCTGGGTTTCTTATTCAACATAAAACACTTCCTCTTTGGCCTGGACTGTTTTGCTAAAATTGGTGGTGGGTTTTAGGGCAGGCCAGTGTATAGGAAACTTTTTTTTTTTTTTTTTTGACACGGAGTCTCGCTCTGTTGCCCAGTCTGGAGTGCAGTGATGCAATCTTAGCTCACTGCAACCTCCACCTCCTGGGTTCCAGCAATTCTCCTGCTTCAGCCTCCCGAATGGCTGGGATTACAGGTGTGAGCCACCACACCCAGCTAAGAAACATTTACCAGGGAAAATAAAGGCTTAGAAGAACCTTTTGGGGAAACTCTGTGAGGAGCGCAATTCCAGAGTGCCTGTGGCAGCCACGGCCTCCCGGACAGCGGGCACGCTGTGGGCTGCACGGGCTGTGAGGCACAGGCAGGCACCACCCGTCTGGAAGAGCAGCCTGTCTTACATCTTTGGTTTCCTTCCAACCAGGAGCAAACGGTGGTAGAAAGAGCCAGGGCATATTTACTCTTTACACCCAGATTTTTCTTTGAACTATTCATTATTACACCATTTGGCTTGCAAAATGATCTCTGATAATGTGGTCCATAAAATCCGCCGTTGAAGCTGCCCTTTTGCCTGACCTGGGTGGGGCTGAACAAGGAAATAGGAAGTTTCCTGTATGCTTCAAAACAGAAATCGATGCCAGGGAATTCTGAAAATGGAAGCTGCCTGCGAAATGCGAAATCACTAAGGGAGTCTCTGCAAAACCCACCCGGCAGCATCAGGAACGGTGTCTACACATGCTCCAGACGGCCACGGCCCCCTCCTTAGAGACCAAAGTTTCAGCCGCATAGTCTCTTATTTCAAACAAAACTCAGTTACATACATCTTATCATCTACACAGGCATGGATACGCACTAAACAAGGACGGAGTACACAGTTGAGGGGTGCCCTGGAATCGGGGCAGGAATGCCTTCGGGGAAGAGTCCTCTGGCCACCAGAGCCCTCGTGCTTCAGAGGAAACCAGCGATCCACCATGGCTTCGAGACAAAAGACAAACATCGGAGACACAGTTCACACTACACTGGTGTAAAAGGACAAGATGTTCGATAAATACAGAGAACTTGGTGTGAAGAAAAGGCAAGAACAAATCCGGACCTCAGGCACAGACTTCAGGGCCCGCTCCCAAGTAATCCTTCCGGAGTCTGGGAACAGCCCCTCCTCCACGGGCGGCCCATTTTTTCCGGATGGGCCGCCAAGCCCGGCTGTGTTAGGCGCTTCGCGTCACTATCAGGCATCGGCATGTGACATTTCAGCAGCACAAAACCTGCCAGTGCTCCACACAGGCCCGCTTCCAGGGGTCAGGATCTGTGCTCCCAGAACAGGCGCCGGGGTTGCGCTCCCAGCCGGATTGTCGTGCCGTGATGAGGCAGGCATGGAGGCCCCCAGCGCCCTTCCTGGCGTGGGCGTGGTCTACCTCCCGAGGGTCACCTGAAGCCGGAACCACGTTGCATTGCAGTTGCACAGTATTGTGGGGATCAAGCAGCGATGACCTAACCGTAAACTAAGAGGAAGGTGAAATGAAGGCAAAGAGAATCAACCACTTCCCAAAACCTGCCCACAGACCATTACGGAATAAGTCCCGCAAACTGGATCAAAGTGACCCACCGCTACCTCAGGCCCAGATGGTGTGACCTGCGTGGAAATCATAAATCACGTCCCTAAAATTATTGCAATAGAGCCACTGACGAGCCATTTTCTAAACTACGCTGTTGACATTGTTAAGACCTAAGAAGCCAATGCCCCCATCAGCAGCTGCGTCCGCTAAGGGGAAGTGACGTGAGCTGAACCCGCAGGTGCGCAAAAGAACTGAAAATGCCAAATATGTCACAAAATTGTTGACAAAAGGTGTTTTTTCTAAAATCAAGGTTTAACTATCAAAAATAAATTTCTAAATTTGAATGTATATCTCAACATAATGAGTCTGGAATAATTCTCTTAAAGTTTTCACACTTTCCGAGTTCGAAAGCAGGAGCCGGCGGCTCAGCTGTGCGAGTCTGGCTTCTCAGTCTCCTCAATTCCTCGCGCAAACAGTCGAACCAGCTGGCAGTGGACCCTGCAGAGACAAGCAGCCACATGTAAGCCCCACACGTCCCTCACTGAAGGCTGGTCTTGAGCCCCACTCCCAGACAAGGGCTGCGGCGGGGGCCCACTCCCCGTGGAATGGTCAGATGTCGCCGTGGGCTGTGGGAGTTCAGCCCGAAATGACGGGTCCTGGGTGTGGAGTCATTCACTTAGACTCCCAGGATGCCAAGTTTGTAAAGGGTCACTGATGGCCAGGTGGGAAATACGGGCATCAGCACACTTGATTCAGATGACAATGCTCCCACGGAAAGCAGAGTGCCCACTCTGGCCTGTGCCCACTCCACCCAACCACCCCACCCCCTCAATGTCCTCAGCAGTACTAAGTGTGCACGGCCTGTGGGGAGCCCGTGTGGGGCGACTCCATTTGTGGAAGAGATGTGTGAGGAATGCTCAGATGAGAAGGACAGGTGGCCCAATGCCAGCAAGAGCCTTCAGGCTTGAGGAGCAGGTTGGGGACCCCTGGAGGTCCCCTTCCCAGGGGCTCAGTGGCCAGAGTGAATCCCTGGGTCAGTGCCATCTTTCCACACAGGACAGCTCTGTTTATTTCATGTATTAATAATATCGCAGCCTTCTCAGACATATTTAAGTAACCTAAACCCCTGCATTAAGTGGCAGGCCGGGGCTGGGCACAGTGGCTCACGCCTGCAATGCCAGTATCTTGGGAGGCCCAGGCAGGCGGATCACCTGAGATCAGGAGTTTGAGACCAGCATGGCCAATATAGTGAAAACTTGTCTCTGCTAAAAATACAGAAATTAGCCAGGTGTGGTGGTGGGCGCCTGTAATCCCACCTGTAATCCCAGCTACTTGGGAGGCTGAGTCAGGACAATCACTTGAACCCAGGAGGCTGAGGTTGCAGTGAGCCGAGACCTCACCATTGCACTCCAGCCTGGGCAACAAGAGTGAAATTCTGTCTCAAAAAATTAAAAAATAAAAATAAATGACAGAGTGTTTCCATGGAGCTGGGCTCGCTCTCTCACACACACACACACACACACACACACACACACACACACACACAAATTATATTTTAAAAAGTGGTGTGCTTCTCAAGGCATAGCAATGTTTACCAAGATAGACAGGACCTATTTGATGCCTGCCCTAATTTTCAAATTATTCTATTTCTTTAGTACGTACGCCAATATTAAAAATAATCCCACTTCCCAAACTTGTCACGAGTTGACAGAGAAAGTCCCTATGCACGGCTGCCTGGGGCAGTGGGTGTTCCTAGGACCTTCCAACGACCACCCTGACAGAAAGAAAGCAGCACGCAGACCCGGGCCTTGAGAGGGGTGGAGACCTCCTTCTCCATTAGGTTTGTTTGGATGTGAACAGGAGAAGCTTTCTTAGAGCCGGAGCTGGCTGGCGGAGGAGTCACTGATCTGAGGAGCTGTCTGCAGAGAGGTGGCATCCTCTTATATGCTGTGACTTCAAGCACTCAAGGGCCATCTGTCTCCCAGGTTTTGGTGCAGAAGGCGTAGGCCTGCCGACCAGCCTGCCACGGTTCTCCCGTGAGCCACGCTCTGTGCACGAGTGTCCAGCTGGGCTTCCTTGAAGTAGACCAAGCTCTGACAGATACCTGCCAACAGTTCAGAACCCGCCTAGAGCTTTACCAGCTCCCCAGCCTCATGTAATCTGCACGTCCACACCTAATTCAATGGCCTTTAAAAAAAAATCAACTTGCTTGTTACTGTGTCTTTCCAAGGAGAAACAATTTTCTTTGCGCTCAAATTCCTGCTAGTTATGTGATATATTACAAATTTCCAAATACAATGGGCCCCAGTCGATGTGGGAGGACACTGCTTCCACCTTCCACCCAGCCAGCCAGAGGGGGGACATGGCGCCTGCCCCAGGGACCCCGAACTTCTGTGTCTGGCCATAGATGCCTCCATGGATTTCCCACGCTGCATGGCCTTCAACACCAAGTTTCCCTCGGGCCTCCTCCCCTCCTTCCCATTCTTGGGGTGCCTTTCCCAGCGCTGCTGCCTCCTGCCCCTCCCGGCATAGAGCACCTGCACTTGGTGGTTGGCCATGGCCCTTGAGGCCCACGCTTCCCTGGTGGATTCAGTGGATCAAGGACTGCCCATAAAGGCGGTTTCCTTTGTTTGTCTTTCGAGTTTTTTTGAGTCAGTGTCTCGCTCTGTCACCCAGGTCTCAGCTCACTGCAACCTCCACCTCCCGGGTTCAAGTGATTCTCCTGCCTCAGCCTCCTGAGTAGCTGGGATTACAGGTGCATGCTACCACACCAAGCTAATTTTTTTTTGAATTTTTAGTACAGACGGGGTTTCACCATAGTGGCCAGGCTGGTCTCAAACTCCTGACCTCAAGTGATCTGCCCGCCTCGGCCTACCTTTTGAGTTATTTGGGGGAAGAGGGAGAGAATGGCAGGGCAAAGAGCCCAGTGCCAGCCTCGGGCACAGAGTGTGGAAGAGAAAAAGAATGAGACGGAGGGGCTTCCAGCACCCATGAAAAGGATCTGCAAACCAAACGCAGGAGGACTCGCACCCTGGCATCTTCCCAGAATGTGTGTAATGGCCTCTCCTTCAATACTGACATAGGGAAAGAAAAGTGAATTTCTAAAACATTCTGTTACAAAGCCCCAGGGAATACCCCTCGGTGAGGCAGCTTGGACCAGACACCTCGGGGCTGGAGGGGCTGGCGCTGGTGGCCGGAGGTCCCTGCACGTACCTGACCTCGATGGCCGGGCTGTGCAGGACCTCCCCGTCGCAGTTCCAGGAGCTACTGGAGACGGCGCAGCAACAGGAGGGGTGGCTGCTGCAGATGTGCCCGAAGCGCTTCTTCCCCCCCTCCTTGAGGTCGCTGTCCTCATCCTCCACATGCTTTGACGTAAACTGGAATTTCTTGACGCGATAAACTTCAACAAAAGTGAAGTCAAACTACCAAGAGACAGTGAGAAGGACAATTCAGCTCTAATGTCCTCCGGGTGGGGCGGCAGAATGGCCCAGGCCAACAGCGAGTTCTCTCAGGCCTTGGTGCACACATGGCCCTTCCCGAAGGATGCAGCTGCTTGTGTAGGGCCCTGGGGTTCCCTTTCCGGCTGACCTGACAGCTCAGAGACGAAGGGAAGCCTGGCACTCACCTTCCCTGGCACCCACCTTCCCCCGAGCCCACCTTCCCCCAAGCCCACCTTCCCCGGTGCCCACCTTCCCCGGAGCCCAGCTTCCCCGGAGCCCAGCTTCCCCCGAGCCCTCCTTCCCCGGTGCCCACCTTCCCCGGTGCCCACCTTCCCCGGAGCCCACCTTCCCCGAAGCCCTCCTTCCCTGGTGCCCACCTTTCCCGGTGCCCACCTTCCCCGGTGCCCACCTTCCCCGGTGCCCACCTTCCCTGGTGCCCACCTTCCCCGGAGCCCAGCTTCCCCTGCTCCCACCTTCCCCGGAGCCCAGCTTCCCCCGCTCCCACCTTCCCCAGCACTTGTCAGAATGACTTCTAATGCTTTTAGAAATCACAGCTTATCTACAATGACGAATGCTTTTTACAGGATTCTGATTGTTAATTAGCAGTGATTTGTGGAATTTTGTATTCTCTTTTTAACAAGCACTACTTAAAAAGCCACATAAAAATAGCATTAGACTAGATCTTAAATAGAACTTAAGTAAAAAAAGAAATGTGACTAAATTTGAAGACTGCAACCCCAAGTTCCACTTCTCGAGCATGAGGAGACTCAGGTCTTCCTCTGCGTGGGCTACAGAAAGATGTGGCCAGAGGGCCGGAACAGAACCATTTCTGGGAGCCCGAAGATTCTATTTGAAGTGGCTTCAAGAACCACTTAAGTCTTTACTGTATTGCTTTGTTCTGGTTTTAAATAGGAAGAGAAACAACAGAGAAGAAGTTGAATTATAAACATTTGCACCTCTCAGTTTCTGTGCTCAAATATGCATGTGTGTATATATATGTATATATGTGTGTGTATATATGTATGTGTTTATATGTCTGTGTACATATGCATATAAATATGTGTGTATATATATGTATATGAGTGTATATATGTGTGTATATGTCTGTGTATATATGCATATAAATGTGTGTATATATATATGTGTGTGTATGTATATATACGTGTGTGTATATAAATATATATATATATACATTTTTTTTTTTTGACATGGAGTCTCGCTCTGTCGTCCAAGCTGGAGTTAAGTGGCATGATCTCGGCTCACTGCAGCCTCCGCCTTCTGGGTTCAAGTGATTTTCATGTCTCAGCCTCCTGAGTTGCTGGGATTACAGGCACGAGCCACTATGCCTGGCTCATTTTGTATTTATAGTAGAGGTGGGGTTTCACCATGTTGCCCAGGCTGGTCTCAAACTCCTGAGCTCAGGTGATCCGCTGCCTCAGCCTCCCAAAGTGCTTGGCCTCAGATATTTATATTTTTAAATGAAACTTTACAAGGAGTAGTTGTAACTAGGAGTTTAAAGTTTGTGAAAAAAAAAAAAAAAAAAAAAATTGTCCTTCCTTCCCTTGAATTATAATGAATCCCTACAACATATAAACCAGGGATTGCCGGAACATAAATTACTCACCAGTGGAGAGTCCGTGCAAAAGCCCCACTTACCTGGTCCTGCTGGTTGGTGTGCCTGATGAGAAACCTCAGAAAATTGAACCTGGAGCATTTCCGGATGAGGATGAGGTCGGACGACCCATCCCCCAGGTGGGCAGCCGGGGAGAGGCCCCTGGGGCTCCGGCGACAAGCACAAGACATGTTTGTGGCGTTGATGGCCAGAAACTTTCCACAGACGACTTGCCACTCCTCCACGTCCTCTGAAACAGAAAGAACCATGGCGATGTCACAGTTCCAATGGCGCCAGGCAGCGCCCTGCACCGGGACGGTGTGAGGCCATCCCGGCTCTCACCTGGTCATGCATTTGGCAAACACTTCATGCAATCGACTCTAACTCAACACCAAAAACATCCACCATGGAACTGTTCGCTCCCCGCAGGAAGTGGTACCCAAAGGGTCACTTCCTGGAAGACAGGACTGTTGTCCATTTCCTCGCTTGGTGACTTTTGGACCATGATTCAGGACAAGGGTCAGCAAACCATAGCTGTGTGCCAAATGCGGCCCGCCATCCACCTGTGTGTGGCCCGAGAGCTAAGAATAACTTTCACATTTTTAAATAGTTGAAAACGTCCAGCGTGGTGGCTCACGCCTGTAATCCCAGCCCTTTGGGAGGCCGAGGCGGGCGGGTCACCTAAGATCAGGAGTTTGAGACCAGCCTGGCAAACATAGTGAAACCCCATCTCTACTAAAAATACAAAAATTAGCTAGGTGTTGTGGCATATGCCTATAATCCTAGCTACTGGAGAGGCTGAGGCAGGAGAATCACTTGAACCCAGGAGGCAGAGGTTGCAGTGAGCTGAGATCGTGCCACTGCTCTCCAGCCTGGGCAACAAGAGTGAAATTTCATCTAAAAAATATATATATTTTTTATATTTCTGTCTAATTTATATACATATACATATATTAGCCAGGTATGGTGGCAGGCGCATATAATCCGAACTACTGGGGGGCTGAGGAAGGAGAATCGCTTGAACTCAGAAGGTGGAACCTGCAGTGAGCCGAGGTCACGCCATTGCTCTCCATCCTGGGCGATGGCGTGAGACTATCTCAATAAATAAATAGTTGAAAAAAACTGGCTGGGCACAGTGGCTCACACCTGTGGTCCCGGCCCTTTGGGAGGCTGAGGCGGGCAGATCACCTGGGGTCAGGAGTTCGAGACCAGCCTGGCCAACACGGTGAAGCTCTAACTCTACTAAATAATACAAAAAATTAGCCAGGAGTGGTGGTGCATGCCTGTAGTCCTGGCTACTTGGGAGGCTGAGGCAGGTGGATGGCCTGATCTCGGTAGGCGGAAGTTGCAGTGAGCTGAAATTATGCCACTGCACTCTAGCCTGGGCGACAAGGGTGAAAATCCATCTCAAAAAAAAGAAAACAAAAGAAAAAAAAAACTCAGAAGAAGAATATTCTGTGACATGTGGAAATTCTATGAAACTTAAATTTCAGTGTCCATAAATAAAGATTTACCGGCAGATGGCCACACCTACTCACTGCACGCTGCCTAGGCTGCCTCTGCTGGACAAAGACTGTGAGGCTGCTGGAGCCTGAGGTGGTCACCAGCAAGCCCTCAGTGGGACATCTGCTGACCCCACATTCTACAGCACCTGGGACAGGGGGCCAGGCTCAGCGATTCACAAGGGGCAATGGGGCCTTTCACAAAACCTGCTGCTCCACACCATCGTACACGGCAAGTGGCAGAGACCTGAAGCTGCCTGGGGCTAAGGAGAAACGGATGCCTGGTGCCAGACGGGAAAAAGGAAAAGGAAAGATGGGCGGGGAGAAGAGGCAGTGCACCGAGAGAGGACAAAACCCAAACTCCAGCACACGCAGTTTCAACACTGAGCCTGTTTCTCAGGAATTACCTGCAGCTTCCAAACCATACAGCGCCTTCTTCTGCTCGTCCTCCAGCTGCTGCCTGCTTTGCCTGCAAACAAAGCACCTGAAAGACAAGAATATCGCCACCTTTTACATATGTAGTTCCAGGTGCACTGCCAGTGCTTGGCACATATAGAAGTATTCACATTCTTTTCACATAGTTTTGAAAAAGTTCCATTGCAAAGGCTTAACTAAAAATAGTTTTTGGCATATTTATTTGAGGTCTCAGAATTAGACCTACTTCTAAAATTACACATTCAACATGTCCTTCTCTGAAAGTTTTGGACATTAGGAGAAGCACAGCATGAGACGCTGAAGGCCACCTGGAGACGGTTTCTGCCTGGCCTTCAGCTAACAGAGCCCGGCTGGGAGAAATGACCAGGGCACTCATTCCACCAGCGGACTCCTGGGGCGAGGAGTCATTTCCTTTCAGACAACAAATAACACAGGGATTATTTGTTCCAGTCAATCACAAGCAAGTAACTCGGCACCATTAGCTGAGAGCGTAGTCATCGGTCTAGAACATCCTTCTGCTCCTGGGTGCTGCTAGACTCACGCACTGTTCAACAGGACAAGCGCGTGCTCTGGCGGAATTTGCCCAACAGCAACTGAGTTCAGTGGTGCAGTGACTCAAACTGCATCTGCCTCTAAAGACTCTGATTTTATGGTCTGAAATTCCCCATTTAAAAAAGGAAAGGGCCTAGGAGAAGGAGGTTCTGAAGTCTGCGTGACTGTCTCCTTCACAACAGCACAGCTGTCTCCACAGCCCCATGTCCTCAGCCCAAGGCAGAGCGGAGACAGGATGACCATTCAGGTGCCCTCCAGGGTCACTAGTGAGGTCCTACAGCCTGGGACAACCACGTTTAGATTTATTTGAGGTTCTATTTACACTGGTGGGATATTATTGAGTACACTGTGTGGGAGTGAAGGTGGGGATACACCAGGTGAAAAGGAACCCCTGCTTGTTCATTCACCATTGCAGAGCCTGCAGTGGCCAAGCTGGGGCACCAAACATAAGGGGAGAGTACAGCGTTTTTTGTTTGTTTTTTTGAGATGGAGTCTCACTGTGTTGCCCAGGCTGGAGTGCAGTGGCGCGATCTCGGCTCACTGCAACCTCTGCCTCCCGGGTCCAAGCAATTCTCTGCCTCAGCTTCCCGAGTAGCTGGGATTATAGGTGCATGCCACCACACCCAGCTAATTTTTGTATTTTTAGTAGAGACAGCGTTTCACCATTTTGGCCAGGCGGGTCTTGAACTCCTGACCTTGTGATCCACCTGCATTGGCCTCCCAAAGTGTGGGGATTACAGGCATGAGGCACCCCACCCGGCCGAGCACAGCGTTTTTAGTCATGGCTGACTCCACTGAACCTCCCCTCCCTGGCAGGCTGCCTCTTTCCCTTTGCATTCCCTCTGCCTGGGCAGCTGCCCTGGCTCTGCCACCCATCCCCTGGGGCCCACCCTTGTTGCCAGCCTGAGCCTTCTTGCTGGGGGTCCCCTGCCTTCGTGTGGGGCTGAGGGCGTGCCTGGCCTGGGCTCTGCTAACTGCAGAGCAGGCTCCTGCTTAGGAGCATGGGGCTAACATGGGTGAGGGTCTCAGCCATGGGTGTGGGCAGGAGGGTCCGCTTCTACTCCAGCCAGCATTACTAATGGTCCTGCTGCCAGCGCCCTGCAAAGGCACAGCCACCCGTAAGGTATCTGCCATCCTTTCCTGCCTGCATTTCTCCTCCATCAGACCCCCACAGGGGGCAAAGGGAGCCCCAGCAGGGGCAAACACTGTGCTCAGCCCCCACTCCAACAGTGGGTGTGGGACCTTCCCTCAGAGTCCTCATCCCTGGCACAGGAGTGGCTGCCCATGCACACCATGGGGACAGAGATGGGGAGAGCAAGCCCCACGCAAGCCCAGGGCATCATGGGCATCACAGGCATCGTGTCTCTGGGCGCGCCACATCCAGCACCCTCCACCACATTGGGAAAATACTTCTGCATTCACCTTCCTAACCGCCCCACTTTATTTCCCGTCTTTTGCAAGAGAAACACACAAAGAAATGCGCTTACCCTGCCCGGCAGGGTTTCCCATCCCTTGGAGATCCCACCGTGTGTTGTGCAGGGAGGAAAGACACTGTCCCTTCATAGCAGTGGTGGGAGAGAAAGGTCTTTAAACCTGGGAACAGAGTACGGTGAAGAAAAAACATCCACAAGGGTCACGGCTTGGTTAGCATGCTGTGCCTGGCAGCTTCAGAAACCTGCTGAGAGCACATCTGCCCAAACGGTCTGTGGGAGGGAGAGGCCCGGCCTGCTCCAGGCAATGTCACCACTGAGGACAGTGGCAGGGTCTGGGCCCTCCTACAGGACAACAGCACATCTGGTCTTAGTGCTGGCGCATTCTGACACCCGGTGATGCTGGGACCCCAGGGCTCTGGCCACCCTCAATGCCGACAAAGCAGGGTCTTTGCCATCAGCCACCCCTCGTGGCCTCAGTGATGTGGCCTGTGGGCTCCAGTGGCTCAGGGTCATCCCCTCCACCCCTTCACCAGGGTCGGTGATGCTCTCGCCTGCCCCAGGTCTTGGCCCCCACTGGAGTCATCAGCCACAGCCCCGTGACGTCCTGAAGAGCTCAGGACAGAGGCCAGGCCCACACTGCCACCTAAAGTCCGGAGCCGCCTTCCAGGCAATGTGTGTGCTGTCCATGGGGCTGTCTGGAAAACACCACCCCGCAGGGCAGCAGGGACTGGGCAGGAGGCAGGAGGGGGGCCCCGGGGTGCCGGGGGCCACACCAGAACCAGGCCGTGTCCTGCGAGTCTCAGGGTGTTGCCACTCCTCCGTGTCTGATGCTGGGGCTGGTGCTGCCCTGTATGATGTCTGATGTGGCAGCGATGGCCTGCAGGGAGCCTGCCCCCCACCTTACCCCGACACACAGAGGCCTCCGTCCTCCGAACACATCCTTGTCCACAGATGGCAAGCACCGAGCTGAGTGTGAACTGCCCACGGGTGGGAGAAGCTACCAGCAAGAGCAGTCTGGCTCCCAGGACATCTGTGTGCCTGAAACTCAGCTCCCGACTGTCCCCAGCGCAGCCCTGTCTGTGGGTGTGGCACCTGACATGGGCCAGGCACGGGTGGAGTGCACTCAGTACATGTCTGCTGTGTGGAGAAACAGCGACTGCCATCCTCCTGCCCCGTCGGGCAGGCCCTTCCAGGAGGCTGCAACTCCACTTCCCTGCATGGTGGCTCTGGCCTCTCTCCCTGCTCCTCCCATGGGGGTCCCACGGGGACGTCGTGCCCAGGGCCCTGGGAGGAGGCCAACCCACCGGTCAGCAACCTTCCAAGCCAGCTCCTCGCTCAAGTGCAGGCGGCTGGGCGGGGCAGCTGCCTCATCACCCAGATGTAGCCTCCAGGGGGGCCCCTCACTGACTTCCTATCTTGATGGGCCCCAGATGTCCTACTGGCACCTAAGACTCCACGTCTCCACAGAGTGCGTCATTTCCACATGCTTGTTCTCCAACCACGCCTTCTGTACTGCCCAGAACAACCAGATGCTTTCTGCCTCACAGCCACTGAATCCAATCCCACCTTTGTGAGAGCATCTCAGACCCCGTGGCCAGGATGGGGATCCCAAGACCGGGAAGGTGCCTCCTGCCTCGGGGCTCTCATCCTGGTGGGAGGAACAGAGCTGCAGCCACTGCCTGCAATGATGGACTGAGGGCCAAGAGAGGACGGGGATCCAGAGGGCTGCCTGACACCCCCACCCCAGCAGCAAGCAGGTGGGGGGAGGGGGCGTCCCAGGGGCCTTGCTGGACAGAGCCACATCGGGCTCAACAAAGGGCGGTCGGGCGAATGGCACAACCCAAATCGCTTCCTAAAATCCTCGTGGCTTCTCTAATTTTCTCAGCATTTCCTTTCTCAATAAACTTTAGATAAATACGTAACTTTAGCATTTCTTAGGTTTTAATTTTCAAGCCACACTAGTTTTTAATTTCATTAGGTCTTTTTAAGCTTCGTAAAGTTTACCGGATTACTATTTCTTTCTCTCATAAAAAAAGGGTTAAGATTTTAGTATCAGGAATTACTTGATTTAATTTGATACAGATTTATCTGAAAGTGAATTTATCTGTACAGAGCTGGGAGAGCTGGGCAGCAAGAATGGTAAACCTCACGTTCTACATATTTTCTTCTTTCCTTTTTTCTTTTTTTTTTTTGAGACAGGCTCTGGCTTTGTCACCCCAGTTGGAGTGCAGTGGCCCTATCTCTGCTCACTGCAGCCTCGACCTTCTATGCTCAAGGGATCCTCCTGCTTCAGCCTCTTGAGTAATCGGAATGCCCGGCTAATTTTGTTTTTAATTTCTGTGGAGATGGGGTCTCCCTATGTTGCCCAGGCTGAAATTCTACTTTTTTTTTGAGATAGAGTCTAGCTGTCACCCAGCTACTCAGGAGGCTGAGGTGGGAGAATCATGTGATCCTAGGAGGTCAAGGCTGCAGTGAACCGTGATTGTGCCACTGCATTCCAGCCTGAGTGACAGATGGAGACCATGTCTCAAAAAAAAACACTAAAATATATGTACAAAACGATTTTTTTTTTCCAATTAACACTTCCACTTGAACTGTGTGGGGCGGCCTGTGTCACCTGCCTAACGGATGTGAGAGGCTGGTGGCCTGGGCCTCAGGGTTCCAGCACCTGGGCTTCGGGAGTGGACTGCGCCCCCATGGTGTCCATCCTGTGGCTTATGCTGGGGTCCAGGGGGTAGGATCTGGTTCACAGCAATCCCTGTTTCAGCCCAGACCTCACCACGTTCTGGCCACCGCACATTTCGCAAGGCCCTTAGCTCCCGTCTGTACGCAGGTGGGCGCCCCGCTCTGACGGTGCTCCCTGGGCTCAGTCCCTGGGCTCAGTCCCTGGGCTCAGTCGGGTAACGTCTGCGAAGGCGGTCGGGGCGGGGACAGCGGGGGACGAGGCTGCATTGAGTTACCTGAAAAGTCGTATCTGGCAAGACCCAGCCACCGTTTCTTCTCACTGTCCTTGATGATGTCCCCGTAGAAGCCATAGCCCAGCAGGGACACGGAGTAGCGGAGGAGCGTGCTGTTGTGGTGGACCGAGGACACATCCATGGCCAGCGAGTCCCCTGTGGGAGAGAAGCCCCATGAAGAACACAGCCTCCCTTCCGGCCCCGCCCCTCCACCCGGCCCCGCCCCTCCACCCGGCCCCGCCCCT